TGCTGAACCTGCCTTTTCCCATCTGCATGCACTGGGATATCTGCCCTACATCTGTGTGCACAATTCTTTGTTCATTGCTTGGACTTAGTAAAATACTAGTTAAATGTTAGAATAGACATTGGATTTTATTTTCAACATTTCTTTCATTTGTTTCAAGAATTCTTGACAAATGTTATGTCTTTTCAGTACTCGGTATATTATTCTTAGTATGACACAGCATTACAACTGAGTTTACTGCATGAAAGTTAAAACACACTTGTGCATTCTTTTAAGTGGGAAAAGGAGAAAGAACACTAGAATCTGAAAATGCAGCAGACAGTAGGTAGAAAAAAATAAACTTTTTTTTGCATGTTAATTGAAGGAAATATTATATAATAATATTTTAATGTTTTAGATTTTTTGTTTGACATTTAAGGATGGTTAATGGGCTGGAATATCCAGCTTTCATTAATTTCTTGTGCACCATCAATGTCAAGATACCTTTCTGACAAAGAAAGTACCAGCCTTAATACTTTAGTAAAGACATAAAGGTTTTGAATACTTTGTCCTTTTTACCTAGAAAATAATTTGATCTAGAGTTAGTATAGCAAATTAGGTGTTGGATATTGTTTTATTAAGCATCTTAGAGCAATATGAGCTAGGTTATGTAAATGCTTTTCTCTACAAGGAGAATAAAGCAAAGTTGGCTGTTAATAATCCATTAAATCTGAATGTCCAGCTGTGGCTGGCAGTGCATTTTTGTAGCTTGGGTCTTTAAAGGGATTTTTGATGAGGGCTTTTGAAACCATGGAAAAAACCTGAAAAGATCAGCTTTGGAAAATGTGATCAAATAGAAATAGAGTTTTCAAATGGAGTACAAAATATCTTATATCACTTTCCTTCCTACATAGCCTTGAATTCTTTTTCGTAAACACTGTGTTTTAGCCTGATTGGCACACTTGTAGCAGAGAGCAATTAACTGCATACCACTGAACCTTAATTTCAGTCATTTGGGGTAATTAAATGTTTTTCTTCCTTTTCTTGATTGGGGTTTGCACTACACCACTCAAAATGGGACGATTTTCCTTTACAATGGAAAGAAATAATTTTGAGTTAAGCTGAGTAAGTAAAAGTTTTTAACATGACAGAAAGTATCATATCACTGCGTTGACCCACAATTGCTATACATAAAGATTTTAAAGTATATGCTTAGCTGGTACCTATTAAGACACAAGAAAGTCAGCTTCGGAAAATAGAGGAATTTTTATTTTCTCTGTAGTTTGAAATGCTATTTATCCTTGAAATATTTAAGATAGCTTTATTTTTTTATATATGACCGGTTTTTATACTTGAATGTACAATGATGTCTGAAATCTAATTATTGTGGTCGTTCATTTGTCTTACTTAACAACATACCTATAATCAAAATCTTCTTAATGCTTTTCTTTCTCATAGGATTCAAAATGGGTAGAAGAAAAGCAGTTGTTAATCAGAACAAACCAGGAGTTACTAGAGAAGGTACGTGTTTGAAATCTGGGAATGTTTTCACAATTGCTGCCCTTTATCATAGAAGAATGGTAAAATGAAATGATGTACTAACTGCTGGAACAGCAATGTGAAAATTGATTACTTTATTTCTCTCTAGAAACAGAAATTCAGATAAAAGTCTCTGATTAAAGTCCTAATATGCTTTTGTACTCTCTGGCAGTGGAAGCTGCTCTTTATTGTGGAATTACATGTTGTATTGCCAACAGCAGAGGCGAACTTGGCTGATGTTTCTAGTGTCCAGCAAAATACCATCTAACTGTTACAAAAAGATTTTTATTGTCCTAATCAACAAAAAATCTGCCTGCTCCCTTCAGCCTCCCAGTTTTTACAGTTTTCCCACATATTAATACTGACTGAGTTAAGACTATTGTATCATTTACTGTCTGAGATCCTTAGAGCTGAGTATCTTCATTGTTCTTCAGTGATACTGGTGGAAAAGTTATCTAGTACTTAGGAAGTCAAATAATTATTACTGTTAATCAGCAGCTCAACATTAATACAGTAGGAATAAGATAACCAAATAAAAATTAATGACTAAAAGTAGGCACAGCTGAACTTAATTTACTCATACACATAAGTGGGTATTATAAAAGTTATAGTACATCGTGACAGATGTTACACTTCTCTTTAGAGTCATACAAATGAAAAGATCATTCAGTTAAGCTAGATAGTAGACCAAAGCTACTAGTTGGTTATAATAAATAGTAAATTTTCTATTTCTGTTTTGTTGTTATTAGCTCTTTGAAGTAGAAATCTGGAATATTAAAAAGTAGGCATTAATCCCCTTTCATTATTGTCTTTCATACACTATAAAGAGTAAGTGTTTAGGTATGCAAAGACAATGAGAACAGTCTACCCAAATATCGAGCTAAACCAGTTTCATTCACTTGATTTTAAAAGTTTTATTGCTTCACTTATTTAGATATAATATTCATATCACTTTTCATACTACTTCCAGATTGCTATTCTAAGAAAACAGTGATCATTTTCTTCTGGCAGTTCTCATCTAATGAGAAATTGAAATAATTAACAATGTTGTCTGAACACCTGGCCTGTAACTCTGTGCAGTATAATTTGAATTGCTTACGGGGTGTTATGATGCTGTGTTTGTCTCACAGATTTACAGAATGGAACAAGAAGAGCATCAGTTGAAGAATGAGATGCAAGATGCAAAAGACCAGAATGAGCTGTTAGAATTCAGAGTGCTAGAGCTTGAAGTAAGAGATTCTCTCTGTTGCAAACTCTCAAATGGAGCAGAAATTATGTTTGAACCCAAGCTGAAATTCCTGTAAAGATTACTGATGTCTGGTGCATGTTTAAGGGAAATCACTTAGGTATCTGTTTTTTAAGAGTTGTATCTTGGGATAATGAAATTGATGCCACTGCCTTAATATGTTTTGGAGAGAGTCCTCACTAATGTTTATAAAGATGTAATATAGCTAATATATATTGCATATAGTTTGGTTTTCATCTAATAAAATATTTTGTTTTGCAATATTTTGCCTTTTTTATTTGTTTCATTTCCATAACTGCTCCTTTCTTGCATGTAAAATCACTTGGTATGTATACTACAGCCTTGGCTGGCATTGTTTAAATTAACACACCTTCTCACATCTTGCATGCAGTGATCTGACTAAAGATCTGACACATCCATCACATCAATGTATAATTGCTTTTAATTAGGTTGATTTAAGATTGACAACATCAATATGAAGTAAAATTATCTTAAAAGAACATATTTGGATAACAGCTTTGAAAGAATTTCTCTTACCTGAAATCCGTTTTTGGATGGTATAAAATGGTCATGGACTAGAAATAATTGGACTCAGCCATTGAAAACAGGAAAGAATACTCTCTAAGAATGTCAAAGTTAAAGTGATGAAGTGCAAATACAGCTTCTGTACATGAAAGTACAGTATGTTGCCCATAGCAAATAAATTCTATGCTTTGCATAAATGAAATACTGGTGAAAATATTTGTTAATAACAATCTGAACATGTACCCTGTGATTACAGTACAAAGCAATGGTTCTCATCACCTTGTAAATGAAGCCCATGTTGTATTTAGTAACACCGAACTAGTTGTGTGTGATGCACAGTTGTCACACAGTTCTGTTGCCTGATAACACATTGTTCAGTTTTAAATATCATCAACATTAACACCATCTAGAATAAACTCTCCAAGATATGTGCCATTGTCACTCTTCCATAATTTTCATCACCCAGCACGTTTCACCAAAAGTCTTGGCATGTGTAACTTCTATAAAGATGAAAATGTCGTGTCTTCCTGTTATGTGGACATCTGCTTTTTGTCTTTGACATGTCTTAATCTTTTTAAAATCCTTTATCAATCATATATTTTGATGTCATAGCCTGTTATATTAAAAATTATTACTTTAGAATTTCAGTAGATGTTCAGGAAAACAAATATGCTTTCTAAAACGTACCCATATTTTATTGAGCAAGTCTAAAGTAAAATACTGAACTCTAGAAACTAGTTGCAATAGAAACTGCCTTCTGAAGTGTAAATGTCTTCTTTGAACACTGAAATATTGTCTTAGGAAAAGAAAAAAAGTGCTTCAATACATACTTTACGAATGTATTTTTCACATGGGAGAATCACATGGAAATAACAATGGAAATATTTTTGTGTAATTGCAAGACAAGATTTTTTTTTCCCTTAATAGGCAAGGAGATAGACACAAATTTGACTGACAGTGTGAATGCTTTAGGAAAATAATTAATGCTTCTGGTAATCAGGACAGTGTTTTTTGAAAGCAATTAAATTAATTTGGATGAAGATCAGGCTAGAGTAGAAACCATTTGTTTATCACTTCATGATGGCAGGTGAGTTTAATGCATTAGTAATTGATGAGTTGTTTTTTTTTAAGAAATCTAAAATGGTAAATGAATTTGGACAAGAATTGTCCAAACCCTATGAGGGGTTAAAATATATAGAGTAGTTAGTTTTTCCTCTACATTGCAGTTTCAGACTAGGTTTAAGCCAGTTACTGAATAAGAGTTGCCATGCTTTGTAACTTCCTTAAGTGAATGGATGCAGCTCACTTGCTATAAAAATTAAAGCATCTAATTTTGTGAGTTAGAAAATGGGGCAATGTACGCATGGTCATAGGAACTTAAATATTTGCAATAGCTCTCTTTCATCATACTGTCAGAACCTGAAGCTCTTGTTGCCAGTGCCACTTCTTGTAATACAGAGAGGAAATCTGATTTTCCTCACTCGTGTTCCTGTAACTATAGAGAATTCAAAGTAAGACCCAGTGCCTTTGTTGTCCACAGCCTTCAATCCAGTCATTTTCACAAGCACATAAAAATTTAAGTAAAATCACTTATTTATTGTTTTGCTATATTTCTGCATTCTTGAGAATTTGTACTTTTTAGTTTTGACACAAAGAATGTAAGTGTAGAGTAGTGTTGCCTTTCAATACATTCCAACATCCTGGGTTGTGCAGTAAGTAGGGTTGGGAATTTTACATGCTCTAACAGAAAAGTTAACTGTAGAATAAACAGGGAGCAGTTACATAGTTTTAATTTTATTGAGAAAACCTTCAGTGATAATACTATTTCATGATGGAGTTTAATTTTTTTTTTCCTGCGGTTTTTTCTTTCTTAAACCATTATTTGTTCCATGAAAGAAAGGAATAGTAAAATAAGGTTATAACCAGCATAAAAAGCTGCAGTGTTTTGAGGCTTCAGTCAGTTACTTGGCGAGTGTACAGAACTCCTGCATCTGAGGAGTGTTGGTTAACTTTACAGAAAATCTGTCTGACTGGAATCAGTTGGAAGCTAATGTCATTTTTTTGCTTAGCTAAAGCCAAAATCCTTCAAATATGGTAAAAGTAAGAGGAAAAAAACCATGTATTTGAAATCTGGATTGGAATCAGCTTTTTCAATGTACAAATATGTTTTATAAAGGTGGGAAATTAATGTTTACAGATAATCATACATGTTGTTTTTAAACAAAATTTTTCCTTAGGAGAGAGAACGAAGGTCGCCAGCATTTAATCTTCATATAACCACCTTCCCTGAAAACAATGGAAGTGCACTTCAACTGTTCTGTCAACAGGAAGGAATAAAGGTATATGTAGAGCTTTAGTAACATTTGGATGGCCAGGAACTCTTTTGGAATGACCAACGCAATACCGAAACATGGTTTGCCATCTTGCTGTAAAGAAGAAAATCTGAAAAAAGAAAAGATATTTTTAACTGGTGAAAGGGTTTGATAAGAATATGATCTGGTCGACTGTCAGGAGTTCATCAATGAAAATAAAGGCTGGTCAATCAAGACAATATACATTTAGTCTAGGGTATTGTTGTGAAGACGCTGTGGAGAGGAATGTGGATGTTGATTTGCTACAGTACTTTGTCTTTGATATTAAATCTTTTCAACTAGGGATAGAAATAGTTCACCTATTATTTTACACCCAGTTTAGTGGAGCACTTATGCATTTTGTTTGTTTAATTAATATGCTTAAGTTATTTGCATATGGCAGGGCCATGAAGCATGAGGTACCCAATCAAAAACTCATTCAAATAGGTGAGACTCTTACCATTTAAGATCAAGCACAGGATGGACATCAGGATCTCAGCTGGGTAGCTTATGCTATGAGGAAGCAAGAATTACTCTTTTCACTTCTGTTCTCCCTTGAACAAACTAGCTGCAGAAATTATTAGCATGTTGGTTCCCTTAAGACTGAATTCAGACTTGCTTTCTTAGTAGTGTAGCACAACAGGCCAGGGTAACTTTTCTATGAGTAATTAAAGTGGAATATCTCTGTGTGTGATTCCACACTATTCTACAATTATTGATGTGCACTGTTTAATACCTGATTTTGGAGACACTGCTGAATTGTTTGGGGAGAGAGGGAGGGAACCTCTCAGGATAGACTGACTTAAACACAACACACTATTCCTTTTTAGGAGCCAGGATGGGTTAGTTTGTAGATTCTCTCCCATGTGTATATGGTCTTCAGGAAATCTTTTAATTTCTTTTAATTTTCTTTCTTGCCTTCCTCACTGGGGTCTCTTAGGTACAGAATCATGACCAAATGCATTCTGGTGTAACTATAGCTAATTTAGATTTTAAAAATCTTAAAGACTGATTATCCTGACTACCCACACAAGGCAGTAGCACAATACATAGATGCAAACAGGCACGTTATGTACTGTAAGTAGTGAAACTAGTGAGCCAAGACACGGCCCAGTGAAATGTTGGTCTCTTTTAAGAAGTGCTGAATATGAGTAGTACTTGAAGACATCAGCACTTAACAAAGCTGTCTTGCTTTTATCCGTGAGTATTAAGCATTTTGGACGAACATGAACTGGTCTTTGCCCATGCTCTCACGCATTCCTACTTTTGAGTAGCATGGCTTCATTGAAGCTGTTGATGAAAATGATCCCTGCTCCACGTTAACTTGTGGACCATAGTTGGCATAGTTCAGGAGAATGTGATTGGTGCTGGTTAAATGGTTCCTTGAGCCTTTCTAATCAAAGCAGAAATTTGAGTTCTGGGGCCTAGGAATGGTGCCTTGAACAGTGTAAAATACAGACACTGTGAATTTATTCCTCCCTTTTTTTTTTGCATCAGAGGAGTGTTGTTCTTGATTTCAATGATTGTGCTTTAATAAGAATGGGTTGTTCACTGCTTGTTGTCAGTCTAGCTGCTAACTGACAGAGAAACGTGGCTGATTTTTTACTCACAAAGGTCATGAGCTGAGAGTATTTTGAGGAGTGTGTTCAGCCACTGTGCATGCTCCCTTCTTCCACTGTAATGCTAAGTTGAAACTCCACTCTTGTTCAACAAAGAAAATAAAAAACAAACCACCCAACAAATCTTTTCACAATTATTTTGTTCATGCTATCTGTTGTTTTAACTCCTATACCTTGATGTGTTTGATACTCCACTCCAAACGAATGGAAAAAGAACAGGCTTTTAAGCCTGTTCATCAATTTTGATCTTTCATCTACACAAGTGAGCAGATGTGAATGGTACAGGAACTTTCTACCTTCACAGACAGGCATCCAGGTTGCTTGCTATAATCAAGACTGACATTCGGATTTGTCTCAAAGTATTAATAACACTATTGCAATTGTGATCCAAACCTAATGTTACTTACATTTTAAGTCTTTTTGCATGCAGACGTGAACAAAGGATATGTAAAATGTAGCATATAAAAACTATTTCTCACCTACCATGTAAAAAAATGTGTTGAACATCTTTTTCAGGATGTGAATATATCTGAACTTATGAAGAAGCTAGATATTCTTGGAGATAATGGGGTAACAAATTTTTAATTTCAAATATACCTCTAGTTTTATGGTTATTTTAAATAATTCTTTTTTTCCCATGGCAAAAAATAACATTCAAGAAAACACACAGAGTGATTTTTATGTGCCTGTATTTGTATGAACAGTATGAATGGGTAGGTACTACCTTTACAAGCTTAAAAGAAAACTTTTCAGTTAAACTGATGCTAGTGAGAAGTGTATGTTCTCAGTTTAGGATTTGATCTTGGCTAAATGACACGGGGAAAAAAAGGCACAGTAGTAGGCAGGGGGAAAAGACATAAAATAGCCTAGGGGGGAAAAATAAGGAAGTTAAAGCCAGACCAAGTTACTCCTGAATTTCTTCTCTTGAGTAGTAATAGTAGCACCTGCTATAAACATCCATGTAGTGGGTCCACTTTAAAGGCAGCTTTAGCAGTTTCAAGTCTTCATAACACTAGCTCTAGATTGTTTATTTTTGGAAGTTCTCTGGAGGTTGATACTTGGTTCTATAGTACTTGTGCTTTCTTTGCATTGTTTTCATTAACTCGGAAGTCTAGCTCTGAAGTGCAGGAGGGGGAAATTCACTTGCTGCAGAACTATAGTCCACTGAACAGGCATTTTACTGGTGAGAAAAAAACGTTGATCTTCGTCAGAAACCAAGTGGTGAAGAACCAATTGGATACCTCATTATTCAAGGAAAACAAATGGTTTCTTCCAAAACCACTTGGTTTCCTTGAATAATGAGGTATTGCAGAAGTGTTGTGGAAGTGATGTGCTGAAGTAGAGTGCAGACTAGCTACACTTGGTTGAGTTTTTAATACTTTGAATCATGACATCCCTTCTGGACACGTTTATAAAATGCTAAATATTATAGCTGATTTATTCTTTACAGCACTGTTAAAATGGGTTGTGTTAAAGGATGAATTTCCAATCCAATTTAAAATGCATCTTTTTGTATTTTAGAATTTGAGAAATGAAGAACAGGTTGCAATAATCCAAGCTGGGACTGTTCTTTCCCTCTGTGAAAAGGTAGAAATCAGTAAAGATTTTTCTCTGACTGACCATGTCTTCTATGATATCACATAACATTGTTAGGGAAGCATGGCTTTTCTGTTCAGATCATCTGGACTGGAGCATGAGTCCACTTGTACATGACTGTTGGCATTGTGATGTCTTGAGGTAAAATCCAACTTACAAAATAAACCCATTTTAGAAATAATACCATGTTTTGGGGATGTTCCCTTAGAATAAAGTACTAAAAAGCCACTTAACAAGAAAGACTTCATTCTCAGAAGTCCCTGTGTCCTCAACTCCCTGGGAACAGTGTGCTGCAAAGTCCTCTGGAAGTTATGCCACCGTGGTCCACTTTGGGCTCATTTCTGTGTATGACTGAAAAAGCTCCAAGTGTCTCATTGTCCTTTCCTCTGTAAGTTAGTGGCCATAGACAGTGAAAAGTAGTTTGTACAAGATAGGTAGTCACTCAGGTCACTCAGTTCTGCATGACCAGTTCTTTACTTCTCCAGTTACAGAGAGAATTAATTTGTATATGAAGAAACATGACATTTAGAACTAAGGAAGACTCACCTTTTTCTCTGAAGAATCTTTGTCCATCCTTTTCATAAGTTTCTATCATATCTTCCCTACATGCATTTTTTTGAAATTCAGAATCAGAACTATAGATTTTAACTTTAACTATTTTCTAATAATTGCTTTAATTGGCATAATTTTGTTAATTATCTAAATTTCATAAAGTAGATAATCTAAATTAGGTAATTTAATTATCATTGATTTCAGTTGTTAATTGCTATAAGCAACATAAAAAGGAGGAAAAGTGTTAGAATACCTATCCTTTTCATAGTGCTGCAGCATTAAAAAGAGGAAGTAATGACCATAGCTCTTTATAACCACAGCTCTTTACATCCAATAAGTAAGGCAGAAGAACCCCTATACACAAGACTGAGGTAGAGAGCAAAATTGGCCAGACTTTAGGGACTGAATTGGGTTATTATTGCTCAGGTAAATTAGTGCGTGTGCAAAAATTGCCACTGGAATTAGTGAACTTGTTTCACTTCTGACAGAGTGGTGCAGAATAGAACTCACACTTTGTAATTTTTAAAATATTTCCGTTAGCAACTGATCACAGCAATAAGGGCTTGGAAGCTTTGACAACTAATTTTTTTTTTTTTTTTTTTTTAAATAATTAATAGAAGCATAAACTTCCAACAGAGACCTTATTTATTTATGCTAAAGCTGGTCTATAATTTCATTTCACTTTTTTTTTTTTTTTGACAGAAGTTTGCCTTAATGTATTTTTTTTGTAGTCTTGTCAGATAATCTGGTTATTACAGAAATTGAACACTCCATCAGAAAAATGGAAATTTTAGTTTTATCTTGTATAGGTAAATAGACTGCATTTAAAGAATGAGATTAAAATCGTTAATGCTATCTGTAGACTGTATCTGTTTTATATCATTCTAGTGATGTGCCTCACAGTAATAAGCACAAGCCAATAACAAATTGCATCAAGAGGGTAGTCTGAAAAGTATTAAACATTTTCCTTTTTTTCGTGGTTCATATTTGAAGTATAGGCTAATCAAGTAGCTCTGATTTTCTCAATGACAGAAGGCACTATCCATGTCCAAAGTTTACTAAGACAAAGAATAACAGAAAATAGTCTTATGCTGTCCTTAGCAAAACAGACATGGTACCACATTTCATAATACCGTGTTTTACAGCCCAGACAAAATCAGTCAAGATCTGATAAATAAGATGATTGTTTTAACTTAAGTTCTGTTGGGTGCATATACTGAATTTTGATTAAAGGAAATTTAAAGCAATGCCACTGCCTTCTCCAGTGTAAAGTAACCATCTCAGATGTCCTTCTAAATAAGGACCAGGCAGCTTCCCATGTGCATTCCTATAGTTCCTTAATTCTAAGAAACTATCACATATAATCATGTCAAAAAGAGATCTTTTGGTAGAGAAATGGTACTACAGACATAGATGTTGTGCTAGTTATATTCACATGTGCTAATTAATCTCACTCAGTGTTTATTTAGACCTAATCCATTATACTCAGCCACTAGAAGTGATCTTTTGGAAATGAAGCTGCCAGACAAGGAAAATTTCAGGGTTCTATGAGCACAGTTCCGGAAGCTTATTTTGAATGCTACAACTGATTACAGCTCCTAAATACGTCTGTCACTTCTATGCCCCTTGGTTCCAGAAAGGGTTACAGGTGTAGGAAGATCAAAATCAACATTTAGTTTTGCATGTCATTCATACCTTAAAAAAAAAAAAGATGTCTAATTTTTGCAAATAATGAGGGTAGCCATGAGAGATGCTGAGGACTTCCCATTTCTGTTGATTTCAAGGGCTCAGAATGCTCACTGTCTCACTGAACCCTTTATCAGCAATGGGGTTTTCCATAGGAATATCTTCATTCTGTCACCTTCAAAATGAAGAAAAAAAAGATGAAGAAAATAGAATCACTGGAGAATATGGTGTTCATGTTCACTTTTTGCAGCTCTGTACAAGACTAAACCTACAATGTAGATGAAACAAGTTTCCTTTTTTTTATCCACCATTCTCTTAAATAGTTAAAGGTCCATTAATGAATTCACATTTTGCTTATTTGTAAACTTACATTTACAGATTTCCTGTCTAAATCTTTAGAAAAACGTTTACTTCCTTTGAGTCTTCCTTTGAGCTCAAATGGTTTCACCAAAACTTTAAATTGAAAAAGTTCATATGTAGTGCTTGCCAATAAATTTAAAAGCTGAGTATTAACATAATCCTGATGATGGTTAACAACTAAGCAAGAACATGCATTTAGATATTACAATATGTAACCTTTGGAATGCAATGGCCATTATTCTTCATTCTGATTGTTTTGTTTATCACCAGAATGGTAAAAGATTTTTGGTAGCAACTGCATGAACTTCCATCTCTCTGTCCGTTTTATTGTTTCCTCTAATTATCAGTTTTTTAAGAGTGAGCCTTGTCCCATGGAGGGTGCATAAAGCTGTGCAAAATAAAGGATTGAGTTTGCCACCTTGTCTTTTGTTTAAAATGCCATCTGGAAAAATGCAGTACTGGTGTCCTAAAGTAATATGATGGTTTTGCAAATCAGGCAACCAAATATTAGCTATATCAAGCTGGAAACAATCAGGCTGATTTTGCATTCTTTCACCCAAGTCTGTTTAGTGTCTTGAACTTTACAGGGGAAAAAAAATAATTTATTGTAGGAAAAGAACCTCCATTTGTTAGCCTTTAGTATGTTTCTGTAGTCCTCCATTCTGCCTATGTTTTCAAAAGTTCTCAAAAGCTGTGTGCTTTTCATTTTTTAAATTTTTTCCTCTTCACACTGCTATGTTCGCATAGTGGCTAAAACAGATAGAGGGGACAGAAGCTGCATTGACACAGAAGATGTTAGATCTGGAGAATGAAAAGGTAAGGAAAAATAACTAAAAATATAATTTATTTAGCTAAAGCTGATCTCAAGAGTATTACATGCTGATTTGCAGCCTTTCTCTGCTTAACAGAGATTGCCTCATAGTAAAACAGGCAAGAGGTTTCTAGAAAAATTATTGCCTCTATTCTTTAGAGTGAGAAGGAACTCAAATCTATATAGGACAAAAATAGCAAATATATACAATTTAGAACATGAAGGCATAACTTTACAGAACATATTAACCAAACAGTGTGAAATCGTCTTTGTGCTTTCTCTGTGTGTTAATTTGCCTGGCAACAGCATCATCTTTTTAATCTTGGTGTCATGTTAGTAGAATTGTCAAAGGTATTCCTTTGCTCTCTGGTATTCAGCTTCTGGACAAGTTGTAAAGACCTGTTACTGCAGATGACCTTTCTCATCCAAAGGTCTTCATGCTACAAGACAGAACGTTTTCTCAAGAACAGTTCTGTCTTGCATAACGAATTCAGCGCTACACTGCCTTTATTTTTCCATATGTTGAATGAAGAGTTTTGGAATAAGTGTTTGGTTTTATTAGTTTACCATGCATGCTGTGCCTCTTATCTTCAAATGGCTTTATAAACACTGATTAATCCTTGCCACACCTTTTACAAGCAGATAATAATCAGCGTTACATTCATCTTCCAGAGTGGGAAACAGACAGGGAGGTTAAGCGATTTGCCCAGGGCCACTGGAGAAGTGTGTATTTGGGTCACAATCAAAAAGAAAAAAAGAAATGTTCAGACTGTTCTCTATTGAGTATATCCTATTATACTGATTGTACTGTAACATGGGTGTGATACTGTCCACATCCAGTATTTCTTTATTTTTAACTCTTGTTAGGGAAAAATGCAAAGGTTTTGGAGAGGGAAAGTGTCCACTCATACTAGATTCTTTTATAAAAGGAACTGGAAAACAATAGTTTCTTTCTAACTTGATTCATTATCTTCCCACCTATTATCTGTGATGTCTGTGTGTGTCTTAGTCTGGATAGCCCTGCATCTATCTTTTTAGCATAGCAGTCTAAGAGTCTGCATTGCAAGTGATTGACTCAACTACAAAATGTGTTTAGAAATAATAATCTAGTGTGATGCTTTCAGAAGGGCAGAGCAGTCATTTAGTTGTCCTTGGAACCCATGTCAAGACTTGGAGATCCTATTCTTGTTTGCTTCCCTCTTGCTTTTTGTGGCCAGCTTGTACAATAGATTTTGGAGAAGCAACATGATCAGGACAGCTGCATTGCTATTCTGGGGTCTGTTGGTAGCTCTGACCACCTTTACAGTCTTGGACAAGTCAGTCTGCTTCTCTGGTGTCCAACACTTAGGACCAAGCCTGTCCTTTACTATGCATTACACAGTGCATAGTGGTATTGCATCTTCTGCAATGGCCATGTAGCTGTTGCTGTAATCCACACAACAAAATAATGCCACCGGAGTAGTCAAGGTGGGATTTGGATGCATAAACATGGTGTCTAGTGCCATATTTTATTTGAGTTCTGGAGATCCTCACAAGGGGCTGAGAATTGTGTCCTACGGGACCAGTTTGAGATCCCTGCCCTTTTTGACAAGCAGCTGAAGTAGCATACTCTAAAACAGCTATAACAGCAACAAAATCCCATCTGTGAGTAACTGAATTTCTGCCCCAAGCTCAAAGCCTGGCTTCAACTTTGGTTCTACTTTCAATATTAATTCACAAGTAATTAAAAGAACTCCAAGTTTAAAAAAAAAAAAAAAAAAGTTCTTATACGGAGAACAAATAGCTGCTTATTCCTGAGTCCTCTAATATTGGTCTTGTATCTTGCTGCTGTCATTAATTATGAGTTGTTCTTAACAAGTGGAAGGACATTTGTAGTAATTTTATTTTCTGAGCCCCTCACAAGCATTAATTTCCTAATCAGAATTAATTTATTTTAAAACCAGGTGTTTGGAGTAAGAATTCATTGTCATCGTTCATGTTTACGTAAATGCTGTGCCAGTGGTACACTGACACCTGGCAGAAAAACCTTCAGAAATCCATATATCAGTCAAATTACATGTAAAAAATATATTTAAAAATATGTTTGAAATTTTTTTTTTAAAAAAAAAGAATTAAAAGGTAAAATGTGGCTAAATACGTAACTTTGGGGAGATCTCATAACCACTAAGACTAACCACAGCAGCAACATTTGATTTTTGTGAACTGTGTAATAAAAGAGCCATATGTATTTAATCTGGAGTTTACTCTTTATGTTGAGGAAATGCAAGAGTATGGTGAATAGAAAAAAGAATGATGGAAAATACTAAATTCAATCAAGGGGTTGCTCTGCTTTCTGGTCTACTACTAGTCCTTTTAAGAAGGAAAAGCTGCCTTGAGAACAGCTAATAAAATCAAGTAACTATTTTGTGTTTTACTTACTCTCATCCAAAACACCTTAAAGGCATGTTTTTCAAGAGCACTGACACTGGTCAGTTCTCACTTGACAATTCAGACAACCATTGAAATGTCCACAGCTTTCTTGCAACATCATACTTTTGGATACCGAGTTCCAAAGAAATCCCAGACTGTGTTTTTTGTGTATATATATATATATATATATATTTATGTTTATAACTGTGAAAGTTGGTGAGTTTGAGTTTCAAAAACAAATTTTTAAAAGTTTTTTAAAGTTCTTTAAGTTTAAAAAAAAAATCCTTGCAAATCCTAGGTGTCTTGAAAATTTCTTCAACTAGCCTCTTAACCTCTTTGGGCACCAGCCTACCCATTTCAAAGTGCCTTCCTGCCTTTGCAAGCTGAGAAGTGAGTTTTCACTTCTGCTTCCGTCCTGTGTCAGGGAGTGCCGCTGCAGAACCCAGCTCTGGCCCTGCATATTCTGGTTTCCTCCCCAGAACAAACTAGACAACACAGATGAGGGTTTGCCTCATGCTTTCCTTCAGGGTTCACATTGGGTATTTTCAGAAAAACCATAAAGTGCCTTCACTTGTGTTTTCTCTCTTCCCTCCCTTGGTCTGCACTGTGCAAGTTATGACCACTGGACCACACGCATGCACATTCCCATTCACCTTTTGGCTGTTACATGCACTTCCCTCGGGTCAAGGCAGGTTTGTACCCTGCTGTAGAGGTCATGGCTTTCTACGTACAACTCGTTAATGCGATACACATATTGAAAGTGCTAATAGTGTGTATTTGATATTCCAAATATCCTTAGGATGAACGTGGGCATTTGCTATAGATTTTAATTTACTTTCAAGTGGAAAGATCACTTAAAAATGATGGTGTTTATGATTCTTCATGAATTAGGGTAAAGAACAAACACTCGCTTGTTTTTATTATTGCTTAGGACCTGTTCAGTAAACAGAAGGGTTATTTAGAGGAAGAACTCGACTACAGAAAACAAGCTCTGGACCAAGCCTACATGGTAGGAAAAGAAAAGTCATTAAATTTTCATGTTTGAACAGATTTGATAAAACTGATTTTGATAAAATTGTTGGTTTTTTTCTTTAAATTATAAATAGGGTTCTTTTTAAATTGATTTCTTTTTTTTTGCCAAAATAGAAAATCAAGTATTACTTTAATGGAGACTTAGGAAATGGATAATAGTATTTAGAAGTCTAACATTTTTGCATTCCCTTTTTTTTTTTCCCTAAACTATGAACATCTTGTTAGTATATCTGGAATGAGACAAGATAATTTATGTGTGCACAAAACTATGACTGGTAAAATACACCAGAAATTACTTTAGAAATTTTCCAATATTGTGTTTCCCTAAGTATTTGTAAAGAATACGTCTTCTTCCTAAGTGATTCTTTCCTGGGTGGTCCTACCCAATGTTAGCCTTCCTAGTTTTCAAAAGGGAGGCTGCAACCTTGCCTTCTCTCAGACTAAGCAACAATTTGGAATTATCTGTGAACTGGTAAAACTGCACACCCAACTTTGTCATTAGTGAGGAGCTTCAGGCAATCAAAATATAATAGCTTGAACAATTGTAGATTGTAAATATTTCTTATGGGGAAAATGTTTTCAGAACAGAAGCAAGGTCTAGTGCTCAGAGTAGATAACAGAGATAAAAGCAAACAAGCTCTATTTCTAGCACTGTGACCTTGGGCAAGCCATTTAACCTCTCTGTGCAGCTGTTTATGCATCACTAATATGGATAGAATTACCTACCTCACAAAAGTGTTTGGAGGACTAAAGGGATGTTGGCAGATGCTCTTGATCCAAATATTGTTAGTCCAGGTGCTGTTTTTTAAAAGGATCATGCTAACCTCAGTAATCAAGGGAAAAACTGCCATGCTTCCTTTCTTTCTTCACTCTTGGGAATACAGCTGTCTATATAAATGTTAAGTTTTCCTGTGCTCTTTACTTTGCAAAGTATGGCAGTTTTGGTCAGTGCATGAGAATCTGATTAGGAATCTGGCAACTACCAAGAGACTGGTGAGGGATTAGTGTGTTCAAGAATATACAAGCGTTCTTCTCTTCATTGCTTATGGCAACCTGGGACTAAGGCACTGATGCAGACTTTGAGCAATGGATGGCAGGAGGGTAGGGACAGAGAGGGGGAGACAGATTTCTGTTGCTCACAGTTCTCCCTGGGGGCTTTTTATTTTATAGCATGGCTTAACTATTCAGTTGCAGTTGAAGGGAATCTGCTTGTTTACTCTGTTACATTGATTTTCTAATATTCAGCATCAGAAATTGGGGGTTGTTACATATTAAGCACAGATCTATCATCTGAATCTCTCTTAAATAGAAGAAATCAATAATTTTCTAGAACGAGAAGCGTTGCCTGGGTGTAAATCAGTGTCAGGAGGCTATGTGCACTCTGTGTGGAATGCTCCTCACTGCTCACAGTTGCTGCTTTCTGTCTACCTGTGTCCATCCTTCCCTCCTGCCTCCTGCTTCGCTTGCTAGCCCTCTCCTCTAGCTGTTGGTGGGTCATGTGCTTGCTGGATTCAAACGGCAGCCTGTCTGTGTGTGATTTGGGTTGCATTAGAAAATCCAGGAGCTGGAAGCCACGCTGTACAATGCCCTGCAGCAGGATCCAGGGCGGCGGGCGAGCGAGTCTCTGACCGAGGCCCAGCGGGAGGACTTGCGAGCTGCCGTGGAGAAGGTGCGGCGACAGATCCTGAGGCAGAGCCGGGAGTTTGACAGCCAGATCTTGCACGAGCGGATGGAGCTGCTGCAGCAGGCACAGCAGGTAAACCCCCTTCTCTCTCCTCCCACCCGTTGGTGTTACTGCTGTGGTTGCCGCCACTACCCATACGACAGCATCACTTCACCCTCACCTCGTTGAGTTACACTTAGTCTGTTCTTCGTATTGACACCGTGTCCAGGAGACAAGCAACGCTAGGGCCTGGTTGTGCTGGGCATGGTACACACACAAAACACTGTCTCACTAAAAGGTCCTGTTGCACAATCTGTTTTGTGTGTGTATGACTGCACAGTCTTCCACAGGACTCCTGGGAGAGATTACTCAAAATTTAAGGCCTGAATTAGAAAAAGCCAGATTGGAAGGTTGTAAGAGTGTAACACTATGAAAAGAGGAAAGGAAGAAGCAGTGGTTCCTTTCTATTTTTTTTAAATTCTTCCCCCCCCCCCTTTCTATTTCTTTTAGCTATTTGTGAAATATTTTAGAATAAAATTTAAAAAAAAAAAAATCTGAGGAAGTCTTAATTTTAAAAGGCCATTTACAAGCCTTCATTCCTTTAAATTAGTTCAGAAAAGCCTTTTCTCTCTACACCACTTCCTTAAGGACAAATACTGAACTTAGGCAAGCTCCTGGCAATTGTGGTAATTATTTTCTGAAGAATCATTTGGTAGGATTGCTAGATTTTCTGTGCAAATATTCAGGG